TTTGAGACTTTAGAGCGTTTAATATGCGACGATGCCTGATTTGTGGCCAACATTCTTCTACAGTACCTGTTGCTGAATGCTATTGCGCAAGAGCGAATCTCACCTGTGTGGTGTATTGGTGCAGTCTATTGGAAAGCGGTAGTATTGCACAAGTATAAAGGAAGGAAAACGTCTCACTCCGTTTAAAAATACGTCTGGCGACAATTATCGACAATCAAATTCGTCGGCGACTATTTTTATTGTCGATTTTTGTCGACAATGTCGAATAATCGTTGCACCCCTAATGCATAGGATTTATTAGTTGAGACACATGAAGTTAAGGCAGCATGCAGCATATTTTAATGCACAAAACAACAAGTGGGTTCAAGTATGATTGAAGTGGGTATGGGGTATGAGGAGGTGCCATCCCGGCTTTTCCCAGTTCAGGTCTTGTCAAAAGTCCAGGACATCTTTTTATCAGATTGGTGTGAGTGTTCCATCCATCCATTTTCTGCCACTATATCTGGGGCTGAGTTGTGAGGGCAGTAGTCTAAATAGGGATTCCCAGACCTCCCTCTCCCCATCCACCTCCTCCAGCTCCTCTGGGGGAATGCCAAGGCATTCCCAGGCTAGCTAAGAGATATACACTCCTGGACACAAAAAATTGACCAAAGCTTAATGTTGTGCAGTTAGGGTTTTGGCCAGTTTTTTGCCAGGGAGTGTAATCTCTCTAGCGTGTCCCTGGCATGCCCCATGGTCTCCTGGTTGGACATACCTTACACACCTTCCCCAGGGAGACATCCAGGAGGCATCCTAGATAGATGCCAAAAACACCTCAACTGGCTCCCTTTTGAAGTAGAGAAGCAGCAATTCTACTTTAACCTCCTGCTGAATGTCCAAGCACCACACCCTATCCCTAAGGCTGAGCCCAGACACTCTAAGAAGGAAACTCATTTCTGCCACTTGTATCTGTGATCTCATTCTTTCTGTCACTACCCAATGTTCATGAATCTTGGTGAGGCTAGGAACGTAGATCAGCCAGTAAATCGATAGTTTTGCTGATCTTCATGTAAATCTCCTGCTCCCTTCTTCCCTCACTTGTGAACCCTGAGACCCTGAGATACTTAAACTCCTCCACAACCAGGATGGGACAATCCACCCTTTTCCAGTTGAGAACCGCATCCTCATCCCAGTCGCGTCATACTCCGCTGCACACCACCCCAGTGCATGCTGCAGGTCATAGCCCAATGAAGCCAACATGATCACAACCTCTGCAAACAGCAAAGACACAATCCTGTCTTCCACCTCTACTTCCTCCAAGGAAGGCATGTCAGTAGGATTCAGGAGGTCCTCGAAGTATTCCTTCCAACACCAGACTGTATATCCCTTAATAATCCCTGTAGGGAAACCCTCTTTACTCTATTTTGCGCAAACCTGCGATTTTCTGATCACAGGCACGGAGACTTAGCCCTCTGAGCAACACAACAGCACTCCATCCCTGCTGTAAATCGCATGCGTAAAGCCCTGCTACCTCCTCCTGAGTTGCCTGACGGTTTGCCAGAATCTGTTCCAAGCCAAACTCTTCCTGCACCCAAGTTTTTGTTTCAGCTACTGACAAAGCCACATTTCACTTAGCCTCCCGGTATCTGTCAGCTACTTCAGGAGTTCCACAAGCTAACCAAGCTCAGAAGGCCTCCTTTTTCAGCCTGACTGCTCCCTTTACCACTGGTGTCCAGTACCAGGTTTGGGGATTGCCACTGTGCAACAGGCACCAAGAACCTTACGGCCGCAGCTCTGCACAGCCACTTATTAATGAAGGCTCAGAATTTCTCCCATTCAGGCTCAATGTCCCCAGCCTCCCTCAGGATGCATGAGAAGTTCTACTAGAGGTGTGAGTTGAATATCTCCCAGACGGGGGGGCTCTGCCAGACACTCCCCACACACCCTCACTATGCTTTTGGGTCTACCAGGTCAATCCGGCATTTTCCTCTGCCATTAGGAGGAATGCCCTGTCCGATCTAAGCCTGACCAGTGCTCAGTTATTGGACATCTATGTTGACCGCAGCTTGTCTGTAATGAACACCATGTTCAAACATAGGCATATTCATAAGTGCCTCTGGCACCAGACCACCATCGGGTGCAGTTCAGTGAACGACTTTGTTATCATTATTGTTGTCTCTGTGCCCACATGCTTTGGATACTCAGGTAAAGAGAGGCGCTGAACTGTCTTCAGATCACCAGCTGGTGGCGAGTTGGAGGTGGTTAACACTTACATACCATCCCCTGCCTGCCTTCCGCATTGAGACTCAAGGCTTAGCATTTGAACTGTGTACATTAGAATTCTGTTCATTTGACTTCCTCTGCCAGCCCTTGGAGGATGGACTCCCTTGTTGAGTTTGGATCCTCCCAAGGTTTCTTCCTTCTCGGGAGTATTTCCTTGGCATTATTGCTTCTGGCTTGCTCCCTGGGGAGTTTGGACAGGGATACTGTAAAGCACTTTGAGACACTGTAATGTTGATGTGAAAATGCACAATACAAATAAAATTGAATTGAACTGAATTTAATCAGATAGCGGAGGAAAATGAGGTGAGTGTTTCGGTGTTAAATTTGCTGCTCAATTAATGTTAGTTAATGGGTGTGTATTGTAACAAATTTTGGTCCTTTGTAAGAAAATATTTTGGTAACTCTGGTGCACTCTTATTTGTTTATTTCTATGCTGTTCAGCTCATGGGTCTCCTTGGAGCTGTGTGGCAAGATTATTATCCACCAGTACAAGTGCCTAGGAATTGTTTTTTTTATATATCTTCCCTTCCTGCTGTCCTATGAGTCACACATGGCACAAGGAGGCAACGTATGTGAGGTAAAGGACTAACAATTTGCTCTGCTTCTCCAGAGGCTCCACTTGTCCTGGTCTGAGAGGTTGGCAGCACGGGTATGGGACTTGTTCCAGACAGCTGTGCCTGAGCAGGCCAGTCTGTCTAGGGAGTGCTGCCAGCACCTCCGACAGGAGACTGAGCAGGACCTGGGCGCCCAGTTACGTCAGGAGGAGTCCATCACCCGGAAACATCTGGAGGGAATCCGGGAACAGTTGGAGCAGGACAGACAGGTACATGGAAGGGAAGGTATCACTGGGCACTTTCCGTAAGCAGCAGAATTAATTTCAGTTGCTTAGCAGGTCCTTTCATCCTCAGGGATTACCATAAAGTAGGTGCCATCATCTGTAAAAATTACGAAACATCCCTTTAGCATAATACAGGTGAGATCTTCCTGCCTGAGCTGTTCAAACCTTTGGATTGTGCCATAGACGTGGGCTAAGGAAGAGGCCTTGGTGTCAGCCAGTCTGGCTCACCTGGCTGAACAGCAACTGAAGATCCTCAGAGGGATGCTGGTGAGACAAATGGATATGCAGGAAAGGTGAGACTAATGATATGAGCAGCTCAAGTGGCCAAGTGGGTGTAACTGCATAACACTGACTCTCCTCCCTTCCACAGTAGTATTGGCACTCTGGTGGAGGAAAAGCAGCAACTTCTCCTTATGGCAGTGCAGAGGCTGTTCGCTGCACGCCATTTTAGCTTACGGATGTTGAAGGAGATGAGACTATCACGGCTGAAGCACGCCCACTGTGACATTGGAGCTCTGGAGCTGGAGAGCTCTAGCCAGGCCCACCAAATGCCCCGCGGTGGCCTCAAGGTACTGCCTGGTCTCACAACAGTGCCAGCCATTTACTGTGATCCATGACTGTTACTGTGAACATGACCTCCTTATTCCAAATATACTCCTGCACTATTATTTTTCCAAGCTTTAATTTATATAAGGTAGTGCAGACATTACAGAGTGATACAATGACATTTTTTCTTTTATTCCCCATAATCCCTTCCCCCTCAGATTAACACAAACTGGCTGTAGATAAAAATAGGGGTTTAAATGAGGGAATAAATATGCAATTAAAAAAACAAATAACAATGACAAGTAAAGACCTGCTTAATATGCTGAAAATGAGCACGAATCAACTAGAAACTCCTTTATATCAAGCTAGAGAAGCAGCATGTCTAACAAAGTAGCATATTAGCCAGCATGCAAGCAGATCTGTATGACACTACTTACGTAACGCATGGATAATAAAGGTCTTGTCCACCAAGACTCACAGCTAGCAGCCCAGCATCACTAAGGGATCAGCCATTCTTTTATCTATACATGCACTACACTGCACCAAGCAGAGGATTGCCTTAACAAACCTCTTACATCCTTGGCACCAATAGGAGCCATGCTCCAGTGAGGCAGAGAAACGCCTGGGTCCAGAGAGTCAGCTGATTAGCCAAGGCTTTCAGCAGGAGTTTCTTTCGGAGTTGGACACAGGGACAGAATTTCTTCAGGAACATGCCCAGCTGTTGGTGGGCCATACCTTTGCTCAGTGTGTGCGGCGGCAGCATAGTACGACAAAGTTCCACCAACAACATTCTGATCACAACAAGGTAAAGATGGCTGCTTTATGCAACTTAAAGGAGTGTGCATTTCACTTGTGTATATGCCACCACAAAATCTTTTTAGCAACTGAAGTTGCAAGATTCATTATAATTCTTGTTGTGATGAAGCAGCAGGACCTGGTGGAAGCAGTTTCTGAGAGCGTCTATGTGACTCGGGACTCCATAAACGTCCTGATCCATGACTACTATGCCGAGATACAGAGCATCATCAGGACATCGCGGCAAGACCAGCAACACATCCTGCAGCATGGTGAGAAGCAATAATACTGTAACCAGTGATTCTCAAAGGGAGAGAGGAGTAGTGATATCAGTCAGGGCTTTAGGTGAACTGAACAGTTAATAAAAAGTGCTAGCTTTTATTTCTTATATATAAATATTTGCTTTTGATGTACAGTGTCAAAGATCATTTCAGCAAGCCAAGAGTAAATCTTATGGTCATGTTGTGATGTGAACTGTGATACAGTTCTGCTATGTCAGTCTCAGAGGGGAGTGACAAGCAGATGGGCAGGAACCAGCTGATGTGGACGCTACAGAAAGAGCTAACGAACTGGGAGAGGAAACCCATCTCTAGCGAATTCCAGCACAGGTACTACCTTATGTAATTTTTGTCAAAGATCACATTAGGGAGTGGTGGGCAGGGTTCTGCTAGTCTGCTAACCACTAATTAGCATAGCTAACTTTTCATTTGTAGCGTTTCCTCTAAATTTGAAAACCTTCAGCGGACCATTATCTTCTGCTATATTCTGCTGACTTTAAATCTGCTAACTTTTTTGCGGGTAAAGTGAATGCTGTTGGCTGACTACATGTAAACACAAGGCATGATTGGCCGATAACTAGTGAGACTTAAGGTAGTTTGGCCTAAACATAGGTGAACAAAGAAAGAATCCATTTGAACTGAGGTACCTTGAACTAACCAGGAAACAGGGGTATGTCTCATATAGCTGGATTTCTTGCCAAGCCAGATAACTTGTCGGATTTAAGTTACCCCAGTTTAAATCGACTTTATCTTCGTTCACTTACATTTAGCCCAGCCTACCATTTATCCGATAAGTTATCTGGCTTAATAGTGATAAAGCTTCATAAACGCTTGATGTATTTTCTGACCTCACTAGACGGCGCTGTGTGTTCAAAAAAGGGCTCAAAACATGCCCCAAAGTAAACCAAGACACTATCTAGTGAGGTCAAAAAATACAGCAAATGGTTCATGAGGCTTCCTTTGGCAATCACTACCATGTAGCAAGAAATCCAGCTTCATGATTCAGGCCCCTGTTCTCCGCTTAGTTTAACCCTGGGGAACCCAGACCACCTTATCATTTTAGGAAAAATATGTCCAATGGCTAAAATGATCATAAAGACCCACTGAACTCAAAAACAGGTGTTTTGTAAAAATAACCCTTTCCCAGTCCATGTTATGAAATGTGACATATACAACCTGCTAGACTGTTCATGCTCTTCCAACTTGTTAATTTCACCTATGAAATAAGGACAGAAAAGAAGGAAAAACCAAATCTTTGCAACATTCTCATTTTCAAAATGCATTTACTGAGTTTTCCTTTTCATCATTCACCATGTGCTGGCAATAAAACACAGGCTTCAAACATGCGAACCTATCAAGAAACAGGTCAAGTGAAAGTAAATCATGGTCTGGATTTTTACTTTCTGGACCTGAAATTGCCACCACTGACAATAAAACAAATGGAAAATTAATTATAGAGTTCTTGTTATGTGTAGGTTGCTATTATTTTACTTGTCTGGCCGAGATGAAATCAAATCGTGCTGTATGTGGCCCCTGAACTAAAATCAGTTTGACACCCCTGGTCTAATAGGTCTGGATTGGTGCTGATACCGATTATCACAGGGTCATTAAGGTTGCTCAGAGGATAGTTGACTGTCCTCTCTCCTCACTTGAAGAACTTCACAGCTCCTGTTGTCTCAGGAACGCAAAGAAAATTCTTCAGGACCCATCACACCCAGGACATGTACTGTTTGAACGCCTGCCCTCAGGCAGACGTTTCAGATCCATAAAAACCAAAACAAACAGACTGAGAAAGAGTTTTTACCCCTCAGTCATCACCATGCTGAACACTGCTAAGTGGTCAATTTGAGCCAGGGCACCGTTCATGTTTACATTACTACAGTGTTATTTTGTTTACATTACAGCCTTATGTTTCATGCCAAAACTGGCTAAGGAAACAAGTGCAATACGTAGTTTGTTTGTAACTGTTTGTTTGTAGGTACGAAAGAAAGTAGCGTTCAGGCTCTTTCAGAGTGACTGTGTTTTTATTTAGCACTGGAGAATTGCACTTTAATTTCGTTGTACAATGTCTCATTGCTACAATGACAATAAAGATTCTATTCTATTCTATTCTATTCTATTCTATAATCCTGCAGGTTAAGCAAACACGTAGCTACCAAACTAAATATATAGTTATAATAAATGCAACATATTGCTATCAAGTTAAATGTACATTAATAATCTAATACAACATGTTGATTATACTATAAAACTAAATGCAAATGGTTTTATAATAAACATATACCCTTGTATAACATTGTTAAACATATAGTTTCAGAAACATTGGTCTACAGTGGCGAAGACCCGCCCCTTGTCTGCCTTTGATTGGCTCTGACCCTGGAAAAAAAAAAAACAGATAGACCTGCGAAATGTTAGGTGCACCAGTGCGACCAATGAAAAAATTTAGTCACACTCAACAAAGTTTTGGTCACATGTGCGACCAGATTGGTGGCACTTTGGAGCCCTGGACTGTTTCCCTTCATTTATCCAGGATGTGCCCTTTTATTCCAGGGGGAGAAGCTCCAGCTTAACCATGAGCCTGGGGGACTGATAATGGAAAATGGATGAATGGGTAATTCAATACAATGACTTGCTAATTTCCCCTTACTTTTGGAATGTCAGGATGGAAAGTCAGAAGATGAAGATTTTGAACCAGTATGATTTGGAATTTAAGGCTGCTTACGACAAGCTGAGGAAGAAGAAATCTGTCATCAACTATGTGATGAACACTCTTGAAGGAAGACTTCAGGTAACAACCAGAATATGTGGTAAATACCACAATAATGGCCCGGGGTAAGTAGCCTTCTTCACGCTACGTCGTTGCATAAGTTCTATGTTAAAAGATAGGACTTACGAACAACATAGCGTTAAGAAGGCTTTAGGAAACTCTCCCCAGAACATTTAGAGATGTTTAAAAAGACATTAGATTAAAACAGGCAATTGTGCCAGATCACTAACCGTTTTACAAATGATGTTTTACATTCTCCCATGGGATGGTTTCATGTGTGAAAGGGTTTGTGCATAGGACTGATCTTAAAGGGCTTGTTCTTTCTTCATAGGAAGCTGAAGAGACCTTCATGTCACGGCTGGCTGCAGTGGCCAAAGTGCCACCGTCCAGCATGGGGAGCAATTGACTGCTGAGTCAAACAGAGGCTCACCCAGGTCACCTGCATCTGATGAAGCAGGACTTTGGCAGTCCTTCACAATAATGACAAAGACTGGAAAATTGTATGCTAAAACAAAACACCTGGTTGAATATGTTACAACTAATTTGGTTAATTGGTAACAGGTCAGTAAGATGTTTTGGTATAAAAAGAGCCTCCCAGAGAGGCGGAGTCTCTGCAGTGAAGTTGAGGAGAGGTTCACCACTCTCTGAAAGACTGTGTAGCCAAATAGTGTAACAATTTAAGAATAATGTTCCTCAACGTAAAATTGCAAAGAATTTGGGAAATTTATCATCCATGGTACATTATATCATTAAACAGTTCAGTGAATCCTGAGAAATCTCTGTACGCGAGGGGCAAGGCAATATTGGATAGCCATGGTCTTTGGTTCCTGAGGCAGCACTGCATTAAAAACAGACACGATTCTACAGTGGAAATCACTGCATCGGGTCAGGAACACTTTCAACAACCATTGTCTGTGAGCACATTTTGTCTCTGCATCCACAAATGCTGGATTAAACTCTTACCAGGTAAAGAAGAAACCATATCTAAAAGTGATCTAGAAGTGCCACCGACTTCTCTGGGCTCAAGCTCATTTAAGATGGATAGAAGCAAAATGGAAGACTGTCCTGTGATCTGACGAATCAAAATTTCAAATTCTTTAAATCATGGACACCGCATACTTCGGGCTAAAGAGGAGAGGGAACATCCAACGTGTTATCGGCAGACAATTCAACATCCTTGATGGTATGGGGGTGCATTTGTGCCCATGGCTTGGGTAGCTTGCACAGCTAGAAAGGCACCATTAATGCTGAATAAAATATACAGGTTTTGGAGCGAGACATGCTGCCATCCAGACAACATCCTTTTCAGAGAAGACCTTGTATATTTCAGCAAGACAATGCCATACCGCATTCTGCGCATATTAGAGCAAGACAGCTCCAGGCTGAAAAATAAATATGTCCAACTCTTGCCTGAGAACTGTTGCGATGTTTATATTTCAAACCTAAGCATCCATCCATCCATGTTCTGTAACTGCTTATCCCATTCAGGGTCGCGGGGGGTCCAGCATTGGCTGTCAGAGGGGGCTGAGACGGTAGTCGCTGTCGGTAATCCAGGCGAAGGTCGTCTGATCGTCTATGGCAGTAGGAGCACTAAGCATGACCCGGAGTCTAGGAGGCGAAGCATAGATTGGTACACAGGAGGACAGGAACACACAGAGGGGGAAAACGCTTACACACAGGAAAAACCATGAAGATCTCGCATCTGGCTCACCCAGAAAAAGGAGACTGACAAAGGGAAGACTGAACACAGATGGGAGGGACGTGGTTCCAAAGCAGAACCACCGCTGTCATCACTGAGCTTGATGGACCGGGCTTCCCCGAACAGCTGGCGTGTCCTGTCAGTGGGATCTCCTGGAGGGGTGTAGTAGTTGAGACGTTGAAGGGACATCTCCAGAGTGGTACGCGAAAAAGAGGTCTTTGGCCACTTACTGCATGGGGATCTATGGGTCATATTAAGCTGACGTCAAAAGTATCAAGGCAAAGAAAGAAAAAAACAACCGGAAAGGCAACGGAAAGCTTTGCTAAAAGCCATCAATCAAAATAATTTGAATGATGGTACTGTCAAGAAGTAGCACCTTGTGTGTTCTGAGCAGTTCCTTACAGGCTGAGATGGGCTGTGTTTCAGCGAAATGTATTTAAAATATGTATTTATTTACTTTATGAGTATTTCGTGAATTATATTTTGCTGGGCGGCAAAAAAATCAGATGTAGTTTGTAACGAAATATACTTTGATTGTATTTAATCTATTTAAAATATTTAAGAAATGTCATTTTAAGAACCTTCATCACCAGGGTTACAGATTCAATATAGCCTATCACCATCTTTGGCAACATTCCAAAGAAAGAAGCTGCTATTGGTGATCGGTGCAAATTGCCTTGGCAAAAATTATGTAGTAAAGTAGACCTGTATTGCTCACAGAATGTCAGTATAGGACAGAAAATTAGAGCGATTAGCAAACAGCAGTGCTGTGCTCAAGAACATATGAATTAACTTGCTAGCCTGCTAGTGGCATTCTAGTTCATTTCAACAGACATGCTCAGGCAGTGGCATCTTGTGGTTTGTCATATATGGAAGCCTTCATTAGCGATTTTGTTCCGAATGATAAATTAATTTCTATCAGCTAAATTTAGGTATTATTAAATAATAGGAGTGTTTATACCCACCGAGCTTGTGTAAACAGGTGAACGGACTGGTGAACTTGATGTTACATATTATACGCTTCACAGCAGTTGGTCCCATTTTTATTTTTTGAGTACATATCTAAAAGTCTCTTTGATTTTATGTTCGGTACTCTATTGTAAGACAAAGCAGGAAATTCACGCATCATGATAACTAATTTAAGAAAGCGGTATTGTGCTTCATTGCTCATGTATTTAGACTTTATGGTGAACTGTGGTGGAAGATTATTTTCTTCAAATGTTATGAAGAAATGCCTCAGCCCCTTTCCCTGAACAAAATAAAACTTTTTATGGTCCTCACATAAACTATAATTTTTTTTTTATGAAACTTTCTTTAACATTGAAAAGAAATGCAGAACTTTCTGCATCAGAGCTACATAGCACGTCTTTGACATTCCCTGGTAAAATGGCCGCTACGCACAAATTGTGACGCAATACGCATGTAGCTTAATACAACTCAGCCAATTACTACATACGTACTTTAATAAGCTAGATGCTTATTAAAAAATGTTAGAATAAAGCTTTCAAATACTCTTAGTTTCATCAGTGTTAGCACAGTTCTTGGTAGTATTCGTCTGTTGTGGAGTACTGTTGTGTCCTATTTGATGTTAGTTATAATTTGTGCCTATGATGTATTTTCAATTTTGTCCAATCTTTCCAACATAGTTTTTTTCTGTAAGCCCCATAATTATTTATTATAATAATTATAGCAACTATATTTTCTGTGTGGTTGAAGATCTGTCTGGTCTTTATCATTTAATTATCACTTTAAATCGCTGGTTAATTGTCCCTAATTTATTCCTCAGTAAGCAAATTTGTTGAGTTGTACTTGTTGCCTGGACCAACACCCAACATTGGGAAGCCTGGAACCTGTGGGATCGACTGGGGAGAAGGTGTGGAGGACTGCTCACCAGCGACACCCAGGTTGTGGGGGGATAAGAAGGGATAAGAAGGGATTGGGAGGGGCTATTGATTTGGGTAAGGGAGGGGTAAGTAATGGAGGGAAGAGTGTGGGAATGGATGGACTGCTGACCAGCACTAGCAGTTCATCCGAAAGTCTTCAGAACAATTACAGCCTTTCACCTGAAGACTGGGAAATTTATCAAGTACACTACCTTCACAAAAAATGGAAAGTGAGGACGGAAAGGCCGTAAGGGCGCAGATAAATGTGGAAAATGTAGAGGTACCAGAGAGGGGAGAATTTGAGGGGAAATGCCTCCGATGGTCAGATGGAGGGGATAGAGGCTGGTATGGATGTAATGAATATGGTAAATGGAGGTGTGGAGAATGGATGTGAGGTGGGAGTGAATGTGGAGGAGGTTAAGGGAGAAGGAGAGAGAAGAAGAGGGAATGTTTTGGGATATACTGTGTCACAAGGAGGCAGAACATGGCTGGAAACCATCCAGGAAGAAACCGATGTGGCGTTTCAGGAGGCACAAGACGCTGAGGTTGCCACAGTGGACAGATGGCAAAACATGGCGGCATATATAACCAGAAGATGGTTAGAGACACTGAATTGAGGACGGCAGATGAAATAAAAGAAGATGCTAATGCTGTCGAGAATAACACCGGAGAAGAAGTATCATCCAATGTGAATGTTTCAGGGGATGATACTGAGAAGAGTCAGATGAAGACGAAGAACAAGAAGATGAAATTTTGGTGACTTTTGATTACTTTTGTAATCAAAATCAGAGATCTTAATCAGAGAGAGATCTTTTTCCTTGACTCACTGTACCATAAAAAAAAGATTTGGATTTTCTGTTGCCCAGTACATGGAGCTGTTGAGGTTAAAGCTTGAGTTCAAAGGAGTTTGAGTTCCTTGGTCCAGTTCCATGATTATTAATGTGACTAAGTTCTATTGGTCATTTTATGCATGTCAGTTCCAAAAAACAGGTCACGTTCTTTGACCTATCTGTTTGCTAGGCTGGTTTATACTTGATTTCTGCAATGCTTGCTTGCTCCAAATAAAACACGATGTGTACATGATTCATGATGTGTGACATCATGTGTCTCATCCCAAGCATGAAATAAAACTTTTTGTAGTTTTATTTTAAAAATTATGTAGTAATTGTAATTATCTGTGCTAATTGCTGGTTCCTAAGAGTGCTATAACGACTTCTCAAAAAGCCCCCTGTTGGACTTAGCTTTTAATCCTCCACATGAATTATACTAAGTGTGCAATTATGTACAACAGTAGCATAAAAGCGACACATTCCTGAGCTGAGTATAAACCTGGCCTAAAACCTATATATATTTTTTTTGCATTTGTATAACTGTATGTGCAATTCTACTTGACAGAAGTATAGCTCAGGCCATCCAGCCTGGCCACTGGGTAGAGAAAACAGGTTTTGATTTGGAGGTAGAAGTGGATCACATCTACAACCGGGTCTGGTTAAATACAGTATATTAACCTACTTCTAAAAAACAGTTCGTTTCTTGCTCTTGATTTTGTTACAGGCATTTCCAGTACAGACACATGGGAATGACTGTAGGATTTTTATGCTGATGGTAGGACATTAATGACTTTGAATCACACAGAGTTTAAAGGCTCGTTATTTTGTGTCCCAGGCTTGTCTATACATTGCTGTTGATGCCCCTTTTGACCTCACAGTTGTAAGTTGATTTCCATGATTCCAGACTATTTTATTTGTTATTTTATTTTTATAATATTTTGTTTTTATTTAGGATAATATGCCTCAGATTAGAAAATGGTGGTGTATTCTTCTTTTGGAGAATTTGACACTGGAAAGGTATCGTTATCTTTGCCTCAAAAACATTATTTTTTTCTTATATTGTCTAGCTGTTGTACTCAATTAGTGAACAGAGTTAATGGAAATTTGTTACTGTAAGGCATGGAAAAAGATTTGCTCACTGGACAGCAGAGGCTCATGCTCTTCTGCGAAGAGAGACTGACCCAGTGTTTAGATTGCCAAGGAGGCACCTGGAGCCTTCCCAGGTTAGTTTAAGCTTGACTTTATGTATGTCTGGGTTTATGTATCAATTTCTGCTTACCGCAGAATATGTTTTTTGAAACTTTGTCTGAAGAGGAGTCCATGACAACCCAGGAGGAGACTTTATCTCTCCCACACTCTGAATTATGTGTCTACTTTATTCTTAGAACATTTTTTATTAACATTTGTATTATTGCATATTTTATGCTGTTTCAACAAACTGTACTTTGTGTAATCCACTTTTGAAGTGTGGATGGTGGAGAAGGTGCTCAAAGCATTATATTTTCTTTTCCACTCTGCACCAGCCAGAAGAGAAGATTTCACAGCTGCAACATCATCCTCAAGATGATGTTTCTGTGGCCATCAGTGGCTCAAAAATTTGCCATCTGTTGGAAGTCTGGCCCTCTATTGTGAAATATGTGGACTTGTTGAAGTCAAAATAGGTAAAAAAAAAAAAAAAAAAAAAAAACCAGCAACATCTTCTTTTGACTGCATTTGTGAAGCCTGAATGGATCCCCTTCTTCTGGCCAAACTACGTTTTTTCATGGCCCTATCACGAGCATTTCAACCATTTCTGGCTAAATACCAGACAGGTATAGGTATATTACAGGATAGCCTGTAATAGGAGGCTAGGCCCAGGCAGTTCTGGAGCTGATTCTGGGTGGTGGGAATCAGAGCATGTGAGCTCCGCCCGCTCTAATTCGCACTAAGCCGCTCCGCTGAACACCGCTCCTCGCTCCACTAAAATTTCCTCCCGCTCCAGTCAAATCACTCCACGCTCGCTCCAATTTAAAAGAGGGACAAATAATCTGCATGCCTAACAAATGTCACCTTAAACCGAAGCCTTATATCATAAAGAAATGTGAGCAACGGCACTCAGAACAGAAAATATTTATTTTTAAACAATGTATAGGCAACAACGGACAGGTTTGGCAATGGCATTCCACACAAAATAGGCTTAAAAATAAAGGAATCAGTGGACTTAGCCTAAAGAATATACAGGCTAAGCATCCACGTTTTAAATTCCTCAGTTATTTTCTGTTGATGCTGCTTCTGTCTCTCTCTCTATAAAATAAAATTTCACTGACAGCGTTACGTGAATTTAAAAAATCCTATTAGATCTAATTTGAATGACAAACTAATTTATTTGATTACCAAATTATATGCTTTTATACTTTTATTTACTTTATAGACTTGATATGATACAAACCATATAAAACTTGCTCACGTTTTGCTTTGGCCTCCGCGTGTTCGCGTAGCACACTGTCATGTTTCCGAGAAAGGTCTTTTTAGATTCCAAAGTGGATCTAAATCTTGATAATTGTACAGATGAATTCTGGGTAGATTTGCGCACGCCTCAGAGTCGTAGCGTGATCGGTATCGGAGCGAATTTGGAGTGAAACAAGCGACCGCTCCGCGCTCTGACCAAATTTCGCCCGCAAACCTGCACAGAGGTCAGTTCCAACTGAATCCAGGCGGCTCCCTTACCAGTGCCCCCCCACCCGCCCCCCTCGTGTCAATCAGGGCGGAGCAGGGGACTCCCTCTAGTGTGATGTGGATATGGCACAGTATCGGTAGACGGAGTTACACACTGACGGTCGTCACATTTAAATAATTTGTTTCAGAAGAAAGCAGGCATCTTACAAACGGGCTCCGTGCATAAAATGGGTTTGAGTAGGATGTGTCATATGGGTGTTATGATTGTTGGGTAATAGTCTGATATAACGTCCAACTTTTAATGTGTATTACATTAATGAAAGTATTCTGATTATGTTTTTGATTCTCGTTACGCACAGGCTACTACTGTATCTCAAACCGAGTCTCTCTTTTTAGAAAATGTGTTTATTCTGAAAAGTAATCAAATTTTATCTGTAAGCTGGTTAATGACTTGAACCATTTGTATCTGTTGTCAGAATATACACATTTATTTAGAAATTTGTTCAGTGACAATGTAAAATGAATGTAGAAAATGTGTATTACAGTAATGTATAACTGAGCACACAATCCTTTGCCCTGATGATCAAGGTTCATCTCAAAGAAAGGAGAATAGTGCCACATGGTGGTCATTCAAATTACTGCATGTGCTGTGCTTATAGACATGGAACTAACAATCTGGTGTCAATGCTGTTTTAAGAGTCACTTGTGGGATGTTAAATTGTAAAAAATGTAACAGATATCTATTTCAAACAATGTATCATTATTGAACTAATCATCTGAACTGCATGTTAGTCCTTCTATTTCTATTGGAATAGAAAATGTACCTTATTTCTCTATGTTATAAAAACTACACATTTCTCCATGCATCTATGAATAGATCATAGATTACTTTCTTGGCTATTTGCAGTTTAC